TCTTTCCCTTTAACTTCATTCCTATCAGTCTCCTAATTTGTAAAACAATAGTCATTCTTTTAAAGGCAAGACAGATCAAAAGTTCCTCTAAGTCATTTTCTACAGACAGTTCTGTGAAATATTTGAATTTTTTCTTTTTTTCTTTTTTTAAAGCCTATTTTGCCACTGAGCTTTGTCAAAGATTTATGGGGCTCCTGCCAATACATGGAAGAGTTTGAGTTAATGAACAATATTGAACTTTGGTGCTTGTTTTACCTCATAAACAAAGCCTTCAACTCAGTGTATTGGGCTACTGAGGTAAAATAATTCTGTCCAGTTCACTTAAAGCAGAATTCTCTAAACATAGCCACTTTAAGATTTGTGGACTTGAACTCTCAGAATCCCTCAGCCAGAATGGTTGAGGGAGTCTGGGAGTTGAAATCCACAAGTCTTAAATTGGCCCAAGTTTAGAGAACTCTGATTCAAAGCAATAAATAGAGTGAGTGAGGTATTTCAATAACTTGTTGACCAATTTGGGACAGTTGTGTTTTTTATAAATCTCATGAGCTTTGCCACCCCCACCCCCCATCACAAAACATTTCCATTATACAAATTCTCAGGGAAAAGTAGCATCCTTCCACGGGAGCTTATCACTGGACTCGGCTGTTTGGAAAATCTTCAACCTTCTCTTTTTAGAGGAAGGTCATTGAAAATGTTTGAGGCCTACAGCTCTAAAGGAAGAAACGGATCATCTGGACACAGGGCAGTCAGAGTTCAGATTGGGGAATGCATTGAGTGGGGTAGTGCATCAATCCTGGCCCCTGATTTTTCAGTGGCTTTCAATTCCATCAGTACCATGGTATCTTTCTTCTTCTTCTGAGGGCAAGCTATTCCATTGGTTGATTGTTCTCACTGTCAGAAAGTTTCTCCTTATTTCTAGGTTGAATCTCTCCTTGTTCAGTTCCCATCCATTATTCCTTGTCTGGACTTCTGGTGCTTTGAAAAATAGCTTGACCCCTTCCTCCTCTCTGTGGTAGCCCCTCAAATATTGGGAACACTGCTATCCTGTCTCCCCTGGTCCTTCTCTTCACTAGACTAGCCAGGCCCAGTTCCTGTAACCCGTTCTTCATATGTTTTAGCCTCCAGTCCCCTAATCATCCTGGTTGTTCTTCTTTGCACTCTTTCTAGAGTCTCAACATCTTTTTTATAGTGTGGTGACTGAAACTGGATGCAGTACTCTAGGTGTGGTCTTACTAAGGCTTTATAGAGGGGTATTAGTACCTCCCTTGATCTAGATTGTATCCCTCTGTTAATGCAAGTTGGGATTGCATTCGCTTTTTTGGCTACTGCTGCACACTGCTGGCTCATTCATCTGGACCGGTTATCACAGATGCAAAACTCAAGGCTCGCAGGCCGAATCTGATCTGCAGTGCCTGCCTGGAAAAAGCAAAGGACCGGCCCAGGGTGACTCTGCCAGTGAAAATGGACCTCGGGGGGCTGCCGGGCTCCCCTGAGCTCCATTTTCACTGGCATAGGGCTATCAAAATAAACTAAAACCAAAACAAAAGAAGAATGTTTTCCCTTTTGCATTTGAGCATGCAAGAAGGGACGGGAATGGAGAAGGGGAAAGAGGAAAGAAAAAAAAAAGAAAGATGGGAAGACAGCAAGGAAGGAAAAAGAAGGCGAAAGAAAGAGGGGAAGGAAGAAGAAAGAATGAAGAGGGAAGGAAAAAGAAGAAAAAGAAGGAAAGGAGGCAGGGTGGGTGGGAGAAAAGAAGGAAGGAAGATTATGGAGTGAGGGAGGGTCTCAGGGAAGGCCTGCCTTAGCAGTTGGCCACCACAGGTGCCCCCAAGACAACTCCTATGTCATTCCCACCATGGCCACACCCATCCCCATCCACACCCATCCCCCAGCCCTCCGAGGTCAATCATCCTGGTCATGGTTACCAGTTGTCAATTGGGACCCACTGTTGACCATTATTCACATCTTAAGACACTTACCAATAGGACTACTGCAATGCACTATACATAGGGCTGTCCTTGAAGAGCATTTAAAAAGCACTGTTCTTCAGCTTTGGCCTCCAAGGCTGGTTGCACTTGATGTTGGTACAGAAGGAAAAGTCCTGCCCTAAACCATTCCTATGGCTTGACTCTTTCTCCATTCCTACTTGACTTGACTTCAGTGTGAATCTGCTGAGGGTTGGGGGTGTCAGCCTCAGGTTAAATATCAGTGTGCTGACGATATCAGTTGTGCAACTTGGTCTTGGGCCAACCAAGTGATGCTACTGAGATACTTTCTCAGAATGACTGGAGGCTGTGGGTTGGATGAGGAAGAACTGGCATTGCTCAGTGGGTCTTAGGTCCCCTGGATCAAGTGACTTTCCGTCATTCACCCTGACTGGGTTACACTGCCCTGGTGTTGGTGTGCAGTCTGAGGTTTCTGTTGCTTACACCTCCTGCTTGAAGAGCAGGTGGCAGCCGGGTTCTTGACATAAAAAACGGGAGAGGTACAGCACAATTAGACTAGCGGGGTCCTCTGATTGTACTCAATCACAGTAAAGGTAGTTTTCATCTTTAAGGAGAAATTTCCTGACAGTTAGAACAATTAATTGTTCCGTTTCCATTCATTATTCCTTGTCTGGTCTTCAGATGCTTTGGAAAATAAATTGACCCCTTCCTCTCTGTGGCAGCCCCTCAAATATTGGAAGACTGCTATCCTGTCTCCCCTGGTCCTTCTCTTCACTAGACTTGCCATGCCCAGTTCCTGCAACTGTTCGTTATATGTTTTAGTCTCCAGTCCCCTAATCATCCTGGTTGCTCTTCTCTGTACTTTTTCTAGTTTCAACATCTTTTTTATGTGGTGAACAAAACTGGATGCAGCACTCTAGGTGTGGTCTTACTAAGGCTTTAGAGTGGCATTAGTACCTCCCTTGATCTCGATTGTATCTCTGTTAATGCAACTTAGGATTGCATTAGCTTTTTTGGCTGCTGCTGCACACTGCTGGCTCCTATTTAGCTGGTTGTCCACTAAGACTCCAAGATCCCTCTCAGTTATTGCTATTGAGCCTGGTTTCTCCCCGTCCTGTAAGTGTACTTTTGGTTTTTCTTGCCTGTGTAGGACTTTACTTTTCTCTACATTGAATTTCATTTTGTTATATATGGCCCAGTGTTCTAGTCTGTCAAGTTCCATCTGGATCTTGAGCCTATCTTCTTGGGTGTTAGCTATTCCTGCCAGCTTAGTATCATCTGCAAATTTGGTAAGTTCCCCTTCTATTCCCTCATTTGTCGTTAATGAAGATATTGAAGAGTACTGGGCCTAAGACGGAACCTTGTAGCACCCCTTTGCTTACTTCCCTCCATGTAGACTTAAACCCATTAAGGACTACTTGTTGAGTACGGTTTGTCAGCCGATTGTGCGTCTGTGTAGTGATGGTGCTATCTATTCCACTTTTTTCTAGCTTACTAAGAAATAGGTTGTGGTCTATTTTGTCAAATGCCTTGCTGAAATCTATATGTATTATGTCTACAGTATTTTGCTGGTCTACTAATTTAGTCACTATGTTGAAAAATGAAATAAGATTGGTCTGGCATGATCTGTTCTTAACAAACCTGTTCTATTCCTATTCTATTCTTATTCTATTCCATTCCTATTCTAAATTATCTTTGTTATCTGGTCTACCAGGTGGGGTATGCACCATTGCTCAATTAGGACACACTACTGACCATCACTCATATCTTAGTCACTTCCCAATTGGACTACTACAATGTAGTCTACGTGGGGCGGCCCTTGAAGACCATTTGAAAGATTCAGCCGATTCACAATTCATAGGCACCTACAGTATGGTCACACCATAGTATGCCCAAGATATCTCCGTGAATTGCACTGGTTTCCAGTAGCTTCTGAGAGCTAGTCATGATAGTGGTTGTCACCTAGGGATCTACATGACTGGGAACTAAGTCGCACCACTTTGAAAAAGTTACTTTGGGACAACCATGACCTGGATGATTGAGAATCTCCATAGACATATTCCCTATAATCTTTTTCTCCCTCTACTTTGCCTGTAACGTTAGCCTTCTACCATCAAATATTCTTAAATTGCTATAATTTAGTTTTTCTTTCATCCAGATAGAATGAAGCTATTCTTGTAGTCCCACTCCACTGTTCACCAGCAAAAAGTTCTTATGTTTATCTTTTAGGTTTCTGTTTTGTCTCTTTACTTTATTTGCCTTTAAATTTAGATTCTCTGATTTAGATTTTATTTGCCTTTAAATTTAGATTCTCTATGAGCCACGGTGGTTAGAATGCAGTACTGCAGGCTACTTCTGCTGACTGCCGGCTGACTGCAGTTTGGCAATTCGTATCTCACCAGGCTCAAGGTTGACTCAGCCTTCCATCCTTCTGAGATGGGTAAAATGAGGACCCAGATGGTTGGGGGCAACAGGCTGACACTGTAAGCTGCTTAGAGAGGGCTGTAAAGCACTGTGAAGCGGTATATAAGCCCAAGTGCTATTGCTATTTCCTATCCCTCATGTCAACTCATAAAACATACGCCCATTTTATAATTGACTACAGAAGGGGGGGAGGAGTTTGAAAGAGCAGTGCAGCAGTTTGGAATCAAAAAAAGATTATACTAACTGACTGGAGTTTCTGCCACGCAAATCTCTAACTGGAGAACATGATTGACGACTCTTGGCTATGGACGTGTTTTGTTGGAGAATATGAATTATGATCCACCCAGATGGGTGGGGGAAAACAAGGGTCAAGGATGACAGTGAATTATGTGTCTCAGAATCAGGTCATGCCAATATGTCGCTCCTAATGAATTCTTTGAATCTTTTTGAAGTTTGGCTCAAGACTCATGATTTAATAAGGGTGATTGCTGGAATCCTGACACCTCAATTATCTAAATATCCTGTGTTGTAACATATTAGTAAATGCGGTGGTCTCGATACCATTTCACATATAAAACCTCCTTGACAACCACTCACGGTGAAAAGTGCAATATCAAGAAATAGTTCGAGTTAATGGAAACAAGTCTTTATTAAGTAACTTTTTAATATCAGAAAAATAAAACTCTTATAATTCTCTTTACAGCAAATATATAATATCAGTGCTTTGGCCATCATAAGTTAAAGGCCCTTTATCATAAAATATATGCTTTTTTTTAAACTTTACTCAAATTGAATTTATAATCCCTATGACCTTTCTACATATACATAACAAAAAGAGTGTAGTAAAATTAGCAAATACTAAACCATATTGAGCTTTGTCATTCTGAAGTCTGTGGTTTATAGAAACAGTACACGCATCTAATGTTGAATCCTTGGCTTATTAGCTGCAGTGTACAATGCAACAATATACAAAATACATGCTTGGTAAATGAGATTGTTCATATCTACAAGACAAGATTAAGATTTCAATACTGACATTTAACTATCCTACAAGCTATTAGCGTTAAAGTTATGCATCTCATAATGTCATAATAATATTATATGCCATCAAGGCAACTTTTATACTGAAAAAAAATCATAAAATAAAAACCATTATCTGTAAACTTTTTTTTATACGAAATGTAACTCTTTCAAGTGGAAAATAAAAAATAAAGATTTCTGTATATTCACTAGTTCAATACGCATAGAATTTGCTATTCTGAGAAAAATTATTTCATCTTGGGAAGATATTGCTCAAAAAAAGAGAGGGGATAAGAGGAAGGACAGACAGAAGGTTTTTTTTTTTAAAGGAGAAAGAGAGGAAGAGGGAAGAGGAAGAAGAAGAAAAATGAAACCCATCAGAACATCTGAGTGTTCCTTTAAAAACACCAGCAGAGATTTGGGGAAATTCTGAGGATGAAGTGCTGGAAGGAGAAACATCCACAGGGTGAAATGTACATTAAAGAAATCAATAGAGAAGGTCATTTTTCCCCCGCTTTGATAGAGGGAAGTATAGTTTTGAAATGAAATAAACCGTTTTGCTGGGTCTCAGTCACTGCTATTTATCACTGATACAAAACGGTGGATGTTATTCCCCCCCCATATGATTAAAACTGAAAAAGACAAGTTTCACATAATGTGCAAGTGTGGTTGTAACATAAAAATGATTCACATTTTCTTATACTCTTGATATTCGCTAAAATAGTTAAGAACACCTTGATCACATGAGCCAATGGAATGTCAGAGCCCTCGTTCTAGACATGAGGGATGCAAACCCCTCTCGACTTCCCCTTCCTCCCACCACAAAGCGGGTGGGGTGGATCCGCAAGAAGCAGAAATGGGTGGGGAAGGGGATCCCTACGGACACGCCATGGCATGACAATTCACAGCGTGAATTTCATCTGGTGTGATGAACACGAGGGCACAAAGGGAGGCCCTTCTTTTCCATGGAAGGTAGTAGCAATTCACACGTGGAGAGCATCGTCCAAGATGCTCCCCGCCAATAAATAACCAAACTGCTACAAATGGGGTGCCTCTCCTCCTCCACCCCCCCACTTCCCGTGTCCGGAGCTCCCGTGTCCCTTGGCAATGATTTGAAACAAAGAAGGCTTTCCCAGGCTTCAGCAATGGAAGACCCACACGTTTCCTGATTCGCTTAAAGATGCCTCCAATTGCATACTACTGGATGAGAAGAGGCTCACCCTCGTTCCACGAACCATGATCCGCTTAAAACTTCTCGCTAGGCGACTGCTCGCTCAAATGGCAGGAAACCAATTGACGGGCGGCAAAAGTATTTGCAACCATTAGATAAATGAAGCCTGTTATTGTTGTGTAAAGAGGGAGGGGGGGGGGAAACTAACGCATCCCCCCCCCAAACCTGCTCTGAAAAAACTGGCAGTGTAAAGAAGGCAGCACTGGAAGTTATTTTTGAAACATTCATGATCCTTTGCACCGTTTTTCCCCCTCCCTCCCGCCAATAAGGATTTCTACGCTCAGGGGCTATGCGAGACTTCGCTTTCACTGCCGTTACTAGAAATACTTTGTCCAAGATCTGGACAGACTGCAAATGCTCACTGTACGCTCCCTGCTCTTTAAAACAGACCTAAGGCCCTAAAGACCTTCCAACAACACCATGGCTCCTTTCCGGGACTTTGCTAGAGGTACCACAACTGCAACCAAAATGGAGAAAGATTGGCTTAGGCCTATAAGGTTAACTGAACAAAGCCTTTTTTTTTTTTTTGGAAAAGAGTACATGCTTTTCAAACAACTGTTAGCCTAATCTCAAGAAAGCCCCAATCACAGTCTGAGTTCATTATAAGTTTACTTAGGGGGTACCATTACATCCAAGCCATTAAGAGTTTAAAAAGTCCATATATAATATCTCTATATATTTAAGAGTGAATTTGAATCGCCTGAGTAACAGCTGTCTGGCAAACTGGACAAGATGGTGCTTCTTTTTCGCAGATCTTGTTGGCACACTCCATGCAGAAAAGGTTGTGGCCACATGGAACCAGGGCAGCGATTACTTCGTTCTCGAAACAGATCACGCAGTCGTGCTTCCGTCTTAACTCTGGAGGGGAACTAGATGTGGAGCCACCGTTGGAAGAGGAGTAGCTGTTGGTACCGTTGGAAAAGGCAGGGATATAGATGGGAAGGCCAACCTGGTTGACGGTGCTGGGCGGGTCGCTTCTCACTCGGCGGGCGAGGGGATGTTCCAAGGTCTCGGGAAAGGTTGGCGACAAGCGAGGGGTGGAAGGCTGGCTCCCTTTCCGCGGAGATTTCACATTACTAGCAGGTTCGCTACCAAAACTGGAGAGTGGGTTGACGGGTTCGAAAGGTGTCCAGATGGTCTGAGAAGGGGTTGGCAAGGAATCGTAGGCGGGGGAGTCGACGGCCAGATCCTCTGCCCCCACGGAAGGCAAAGTCTCCCCAAACCAAAAATTGCCAGTGCCAAATGGACTGGTTGGGCTGAAGTCAGCCAACCTATTGCTTCCAAAGTAGGAATCGGTGGAACCGCTGCCTAGGGAACTGGAGCTGTCGTTCCTGTAATTGGAAATCATCCGGGCGCGACTGGGAGGTGGGACTGGGTTGGAAGTAAGCCAGGCAGATCCAAGGGTTCCTCCTTCAAAACTGACATCTGTACCGTTGTAATGGAAATCATTTTCTTCGTTGAGCTCAATGTAGTTTCCAGTGCGCATGGCGATGTGCATTTCTATCTCTTCCCGGGCCCGGTCTACGTTTTCAGGCATGCCGGTTACCTCAAAAACTGGCTCTTTGTCTCTACTGGGAGTAACTATGTAGGTATGGGTTTGCTGTTGAATTCGTTTGATCGTAGCGCCTTTGGGGCCAACCACCAGCCCGACGACACGGTAAGGCACCCTGACCTGGACTGTAGTCTGGCCTGGCAGGTTGGGGTTACAAGGCAGCCCTCCTAGAGCAGGGCCATTCTTGTTGCGCGAAGCTCTTATCATGGAGAAGTGCTCAGCAGCAGAAAGGATTTCCCTTTTGGCCATGGCGACGTCTTCTTTGCGTCCGGTGACCACGAAAACGGGCTCTTCTCCACGCACAGGAGTCTTGATGTACGTATTGGTTTTGGCTCTTAGGGCCTTTATTTTGCAACCTGCAGCAAGGAGACAGAAACAAACAAAACGAACACTTTTAATAGATTTAATTTCTTTTTTAGCATTTAAAAAAACCCCAACTCATCCTCTAAATTACAGATAGTCCTCAACTTATGACTGGTAGTTTTTCAATTTTACAACAGATGCCCCCTCCCCAAAAAGGGTAGTTATGACCCATTTCTGAAGTTCCAACGGACGCTGCTCCCTGTGGTCACATGACCACATTTTGGGTGGTTGGCATACAGGCCACATTTACGACTGTTTTCAGCATCTTGTAGTCACATGACCACATTTAGGATGGTTTTGTTTGCTGAAAACCGGTATTAACTTTCAGTTTTTGGCAAAAACTCCCCACGGTGAGCAATGAGATTACTTAATGACTGCAATTTGCTTAATGACCACTGAAAAAAAAAAGATTGCCTGTATTTTTACAGTCCCTATGATCCACAATATGTTCAAGCTAAATCCAACAGAATTCTTTTCCTTGTCAAGTCAAGTAACTTCATAGAGGCTGGCATCCCATTCTCTGCAAAAATTGAAGCTTCTGGGAAATAAATACCATATCAGGTGTGATGATTAATTAGCTGAAGGTAGGTTTAGGAGCTTCCTGGCCCACCTAAACAAGTTACTCACTTGTGGTTTGTACAAATAAAACAGAGCTTTTGAAAAACCTGACAGGTGGGCTCCTTAAAAATAATTATTTACAAGCAAATGATCACACAGAAGCCATTTTACTGTTATTTCCTGAATTTTTTCTATCTTTACAATGTCCTTCTCTCCATGAAGCATTACTTTTAATCACTGCATATTAATAATAATTTGACTATGTTAAAATTAATGGCTGAATTAATTAAACAACTAATGACTACATTAAGTAAAGCCAGGAACCTTATCTGAAGGAAGCCAATCAAGGAAAGCTGCCCAAAACAAAAAGATTAAGGCTGACTATAGAATGTAAGGCTGAATAAAACATGAGCATCAATGGGTTAATTGGAAGAATAGGCCAATGCATGGTCAAAGCTTGAAGGATACAGAATACGGGTGTCAAACTCGCCGTGTCACATTGCTGTCATGTGACGTCTTAAGTGCTATGTGAAACCAGGAACTTTCTAGTACTAGAACTTTCTGGATAGATATTTTGGTGGAAAGCATGATTCACCTTGGTCCTAATTGTATCTCCACTTTTGTGTTCAGTTCTGTATAATCAATGCGGCATTTCCAGGGTTTGGCATGAATGCATATGTGACCCAAGGACCAAACTTATGGGGTTGGCTTTCTGCTATAGGGCAAGAAAGAATGACACACTCAGGGTGAGTATTGTATAGAGAAGGCATGCGTTTGAATGGGTCTCAAAACAGAGATAGCATAGCAGCAGCAATAGCACTTGAGAGATAGCATAGCAGCAGCAATAGCACTTGAGACTTATATACCGCTTCATAGTGCTTTACAGCAGTGGCCCCCAACCTTTTTTGTGCCATGGCCCGGTACCGGCATCACAAAATGATCCGCGGCCCGGTACCGGCATCAGCACACATGACAAGGCAAGGCGAGACGAGCGACCGGCCAGCCAGCCGTCCCCCGCTTCTCCCCGCCACCTTCAACTCCTCCTTTGTACCTTTGTTGATGGGCTTCACTTTGGGACGGCTTCAGGACGGTTGCTCGGCTTGCCTTGCCTTGGGTGCTGAAAGAATCCTCACGCCTTAGTTTCGTTCGAAGCCGCCCCCCCCTTCGATGAAACTAAGGCGCAAGGATTCCTTCAGGACCCAAACGCCGCTTTCCAACAGGAAAAGTTCACCTGGAAGCACTTTCTCGTCAAACAAGATGGTGGCGCCCAGCAAACCGGCGGCCCGGTAGGAAATGTTCCATGGACTGGTACTGGTCCGCAGCCCGGTGGTTGGGGACCCCTGCTTTACAGCACTTTCTAGGAGGTTTACATTGTCGGCCTATTGCCTCCAACTATCTGGATCCTCATTTTACCAACCTCGGAAGAATGGAAGGTTAAGTCAACCTTGAACCGGTCAGGATTGAACCCCTTGGTTATGGGCAGAGTCAGCCTGCAATACTGCATTCTAACCACTGCACTACCAGGACTCCGATGAGAGGAGAGATTACAAACCAGAAAGGTCTTAACAGGTGTTAATTAGATTAAAGCACTTAACGATAGGACCAAAAAGCTCAATCAAATGTGAACGCAAACCAAAAGCTGCCTTAGAATGGAATGGGTAGAAACAAGAGCAAGGCCTTGAGACATGGGAGAAAACAAAAAAAAATTAAATGCAACCTTTGATGGATAGGAGCCGGGACAAAAAAAACCACAACAACTTCAAACAAGCTAATGTTTAATTCTATTTACAGGAATAAGAATCCTGGGTACGAGGCAATGTGCAGCCTATATAATTGCCAAGAGTTCCTTTGAAAATGCTCCACGGGGAAAGACCCGTAGGGAAGAAGCAGGTGCAAGAGAGGCAGGACTGTGTTCTATCTCCTGTCCCACGAGGAGAAATCCTTCCCAGTGAGAAGCCTGAGCTAAGAAAGGGGAAGAGTGAGGGAAGATGAAAAGGTGTTCACCTTGGCCTTCAAGGGAGACATGGAAACGATGTGCGAATGTGCACCTGGTGACATTTCCACCGAAGAGCAGAAATGGAAAAATTAAAAAACCTAGAGGCTGTGCTGTCCATGCAAGGAGAAATAGGTCTCCCAGAGTATCTTCATCTCAATCCAACTGCTATGGAAGCTAGCAGTGATGTCTGGATTACAAGAATATTGACATTATGCTTTGAAATAATGCATCAGACCCAACTGCTACCTCCAAAACTTTAAGGTCAGAGAAAAGAAATGGACTTGGTTCCATCTTGTTTATCAACAAGGCAAGATTGTACATAATCTCAAGAATCAGTGCCCCAGAGAGGGTTTAAAAATTTGCATTGCTTTGGTTACAACAACATTAACTCAAGACCATTTACATGCAGCCAATAGTTGTAATACGCTTAATGAGTTTAGACTGAGCAATCTGTCCAATGAGCTCCTAAACTTAGTCTTTAGGCATCTATCATCACAGTGAGCCAATGGCAGCACTGGACTGAAGGAGCAGTCCTAAACCAGATTTTGGGGTGAATGTCCATAACGGAAGTGACTGAAAGACCAGAATGCACAGGCAAAGTCAGACAATGTAACTCTGAGAGAAACAAATGACAGAAGCGGAATGGGACAACTGGCCATGGGACAACTCACTGCGGTCCACTCACTGTGGGACAATTCAAACAGATACAAACATTAAATTAATTTCGACAGGACTGCGACCAGTAATAATAACATAAAAGTCAATCCAGAAATACAATAATTTCAAAAAAAAAAAAAAAGGTGGTCACTAATAGTAAAAGTAACTAAATGAAACAATTGATACATCGAATTGACCCATGATGAGTTGGCCACAGTGAATTGGCCTAAATCTGGCGCCAAAGAGCCACCACCCTGGTGGCCAAATGAAAACCGCAATGTCTGGAGCAACTTAGTGAAAGTGCAGCCTTAACAAAGGATACTGTCCCCGAGAGCTGGTGGTTTGTCTTCTGAAAGAAAAGAGGTTGAACAAACTGAACACAAATATTAGTTGATAGGATTACAATGAAGACCCATCTGACATACTAAACCGGAGATGAGAAGAAGGTGCTTGAAGAATTCTTCACAGAATTAAGCTATAAGGATCAAATAAAAGTGGATATTAATCAGAAAATGCACATATCAAAATGACATCTGTATCCTCAACATGAATTCTGAGAAGCCTCGCACAGCAATGGAGAAGTCAAGTGATAGGATTCAATCAAGTAAACAAAATGCTCTCGATGATAGTCCTGTGCAAGCATATCACCCACTTATGTGACACATACAAGCTACAAGGATGAATGTTCATTCCTTGACCCACTAAACTAAAACTCCCAGCAGAACCAGCCAGCATGACTAATTAGATTCATATACAGCCTCCTTTAAGGGATGCAACCACTGGAACAGAAGGAGGAAGGGGAGAAAATGAGTTTGAAGGCTGAAACTGGGCACAAACTACCTTGCCAGCCTAGTGATCTCACCCCAGCCCCCCCTGCACACTGTTCTGTTCTGTTCTGCCTGATTTCTTTCTGGATGAGATTGTTTTTCAAATCTGGTGAATGTAGAGACTTTGATTCTTTCCATTTAAGCTTCCGTCACTCTGACATTAAAAAATTACAACACGATAGAAACTTTGAAAAACAGATCTTGAGTGCTACTCAGGTCTGGACTTATAAATAACTTTTAAGGAATATTTTTTTTCTGGGGAGGATGATTAGAGCCTGTTACCCAACCATCAGCTATGGCCCATTTACAACATCTGTTCTGTCAATCATCCTTGGCCTCCAAATCATTGCCACAAAAACGTCAAATACTTTGAAAGCTTCCATGTAGAAAGTGGAGTCATCAAAAACAAATACATGCAAAGTTATTTATTTCAAATACTTTACTTTCTAGCTAGCAGATGTTATATTTCTGTGGCCTACTACGCTATAGCTATACAGAGCAGGGTCAGCTGAACCTAGGCAGAAAGGGTCAGTTTTCTGAACATGAAGTTTGTTAACCTAAACAAAATGAAATATTGCCAATTATACATATGGAATGGAGAAGAGAGGAGTGTGCAATTAATTCCTTTGAAGTCACACTATCGGTTGTAAGCAACTTCCTCTATGAAGCTATATCACAGAAGTGAGTACACCCGCTCACAATTCTGTCAAATATTTAAGTATATCTTTTCATGTGACAACACTGAAGAAATGACACTTGGCTACAATGCAAAGGAGTGGGTATACAGCTTGTATAACAGTACAAATGTGCTCTCCCCTCAAAATAATGCAACACGCAGCCATCAAAGCCTAAACCCCTGGCAACAAAAGTGAGTACAGTGGAACCTCGGGTCGCGAACGCTTCTGACCACAACCAAATTGGGTGACGAACAAAACTTTCGGAATTTTTTTGGCCT